CCCGCCCGGCGGGGGGGGGGGGGGAGAGACGCCGGTTTTTTTGGGGGGGGGTAGCTTGGAAAAGAAGGTGAACCCGCGTGAGCGAGGAGCTCTGCTCTGCTGTGCGCCGTGCGCTCGGAAGAGTGCCTCCATGGGCAAGAGCAGGCTACCTTCCCAAAGTCCGTTGCTGCAGAGGCAGAGGGGAAGGAAAGGAAGGAGGGGTGTCCTCCTTTACATCGGCTCAGCTGGCCCCCAGGTCCCACCTTGTTCAAAACATGGGTTGCCCTGCGATCAAGGAGATGTGGAAAAAAATTATACTGTGGTGCGCCGTGCGCTCGGAAGAGTGCCTCCATGGGCAAGAGCAGGCTACCTTCCCAAAGTCCGTTGCTGCAGAGGCAGAGGGGAAGGAAAGGAAGGAGGGGTGTCCTCCTTTACATCGGCTCAGCTGGCCCCCAGGTCCCACCTTGTTCAAAACATGGGTTGCCCTGCGATCAAGGAGATGTGGAAAAAAATTATACTGTGATAACGCTCCCTCCCTGAAAAGTGAGTATGGGAGCCAGAGGGTTCCGGGCACCCAGTTACCTGCGTCTTTACGTTGTCAGGGCTGTCCCTGTTGAATGACTGGCTGTTTTCTCGAAGGCTTTCACGGCTGGGATCCGATGGTGGTTGTGGGTTTTCCGGGCTGTTTGGCCGTGTTCTTAAAGTTTTTCTTCCTCACGTTTCACCAGTCTCATTGGTCGGCATCTTCAGAGGACAGGATGTCAGAACTCTGTCTAAATAAAAATGTTAAGATATTCAGAGACTGGCGAAACTTTAGGAAGAAAACCCTTAAGAACACGATCAAACAACCCAGAAAACCCACAACAACTGGCTGTTTTCTTTGTATCTTGCCTCCTGGTTTGTATTCATGTGTATACTTATTTGTCCATTGTCTTGTTTAGTGGAAGCCCAAAGGTCCCCTTACTGTATATTCATTGTTTGACTTGTCTGTGTGTTCTGTGTTGCCTTATAGCGACCCTCCTTGGGTTTTCGAAGTAAGTGAGAGATTTAAGGAGTGGTTAGAACAGTTCCACCCCCACCCCACCCCCAGTGAAGTTTCCATGACTGAGCCGGGATTCGAACCCTGTTCTCCAGAGTCCTAGTCTGTCACTCTAACCACTACACCACACTGAGAACCCAAGGACTTATATCACAGCCTTATTCCAGGTCGGAGGCTCACGGTAGCTGAATCTTACTTTATAGACAAACTATATTTAATGTTTAGCTGGCTGTCTTGGATTTCAGAAAAGCGATTTCTTGAAGCAGCCAGTGGGCTGAGCTTGGCTTCCTCAGATTCAAAAATAGTTGCATAATTCAGAGTCTTGACACGAAGGTGTGCCTTCGCCCACGGTCACACCAGGCAATTATTACCCACTTCTTTTTTTATGAATTAAAGAAAAACAATAAGAACAATACTAACATAAAGGGTGTACTGTATACAGTACATACATACTGTGCACTAATACAGAGGTCCCCAACCCCCAGTCCGCGGCCCGGTGCAGTCCATGGCCTGAGTTGGACCAGGCCGCAAAGACAGACCTCCCACCCCACCCCCCACATGCACTCTCCTCCACACAGCCTGTTTATGCTTGTGTGCACACGCCAGCGTGCCTGTATGAGCGCCGTGCCACCGTTTGCGCGTGTGCACCCACACAAGTGCCGCGCTGCCATTTGCGCATGAGCACGCACACCCACACAAGTGCTGTGCCACTGTTTGCACATGAGCATGTGCACCCACACAAGTGCTGTGCTGCTATATGTGCATGAATGTGCGCCCCCCGCACAAGCACAGTACCGCCATTTGCGCATGTGCACAAGCATGCATGTGTTTGTGTGAGAGAGTGTGTGCACTCATTCACACATGCGCACAAGCAGGGGGGTGGCTCGCCTTTCCCAGCCGGTCCGCGGGGTGAAAAAGCTTGGGGACCCCTGCACTAATATACCCATTTCTAATGATATGGCCCATAACTTTGTTGTAATGTGGTTACATCTACCTGGGTGAACATCCCAATGTATTTTAACGTTACTGATTTTATTTTCTTCTATCTGGATCATTATGGCCGGCTTCAACAGGCCCCTGGTTCATTCTCTCTATTGTTTTATGGGGCACTGTAGTCCTTAAAGTCTTTTAAAAAATCAAAATATACATCGCTATGTCACGTAGTGTTTCCTGATGGGTAGAATTTCCTCTGTTACACTGACACCTCTGCAAGCAATGGATGGCATACCGTGGACCTGGGACCCCCGCCCAGGGGTGTGTGGCTTGCGAGACAGTAGGTGGAGTGAGGCGACCCTGTCCCATGCCTTTAAAGCTGATGACATAAGTTTGCCACCCTCCCCGACACGCCAGCCATGAAGAGAGATATATATATAGAAGCGCAGCTATGTGGCTTGAAAAAGTATCAGTATGATTATACACACTTGCCATACCATTAAGGAATACATATTGAAACACCACTGAATCTAAAAAAATAAAATTAAAAAAAAAACCCAGAATCCTCTCGGTGAGTGGGAATTGAACCGTAGTTTCGCTGCTGGCTCATGGTTGTGCGCTGTGTGGCTGCAAAATTCAGCTACGATATAATTTGAGCATAAGCAGGGAACGGTGTCCACGGGAGATCTGCTATAAACTTAGCTACACTCCTTAACTTACACCAAAGGCTGGGATTTCCCTCCTGTTGCTTAAAATAATGATTTCCATGGCAGTGTTTCTCCGCAGCCCACATTTCCCCATTCACACAAACCCACCCCACAGGGATTTATGGCACGAATGTATCTCACAGCTTGGGGGAGTTAGTTTTCCGGAGTACGATTCCCAGTTTTCCCCAGCCGGGATAGTTACTGCTGCCTGGGGGATTCTGGGACTTGTAACCCAAAAGGAAACCTTTCCAGCTTCTCTGTTGATTATACCCAGGTTTCTTAAATTTGTGGTACCCTTGCCCTTATCAGAGGGGGAAGGGGGTCTACATGAGGAATGTCAAGCAGGGGGAGAGCTCCAGGCCAGCCCTCCAGACTGACAGGCGCAGTCGGGTGGGAGAGCGGGTCTAGCCGGGAAGCCCACAGAATCTCCAGAATTGTTTCTACTGAGCATTATACCAGACAAAACAGATAAGACAAAGAACTACCTAGTTTTATATATATAGTCACTGCAGCCAAAATTTTTTACACTAAGAATTGGAAGAAATCAGAGATACCGAAACAAGAGGAACTCGCTGAGAAGATAATGGGAAGCGGCAGAAATGGATATTCTATCAGAAGTGTTGAAAGACTGTCCAATACAAAAGGCAACTGAGCAATGGGAATTATTAAATAAATAGCTTGGGTCACCAGATAGAGCTTGAATAACATAGAATTAAACTAAGATGTAAGTTGAAACCTGGAGGGCAATCAAATGGTAGAAAGGCGAACAGTCGACTTGATATTGCAACATGAACAGACTGGATGACAGTACATTTTGTGTTCTCCTTCCCCCTCTATTTCCCCCATATCCCCCTCTATTTGTACTCCTTACCTTATCCCTAGTGGTTAAAAATAAATAGAAAAGAATCTCCGTGTGCTGCGCATAAGCGGTTTCTTGGTGGCAACTGCTCAAGTCCTTCTCAACTTGGAAAGAAGGAACCCTTTCTTGCCAGGTGCCTTTCCCGGCATTTAATAATAATACCCTTTGAACAGCAGAGCTGGAAGGGACCCTGTGGGTCATCCAGTCCAGCCCCTGTCAAGAAGGCACAGCGGGGAATCAAACTCCCAACCTCTGGCTCCGCAGGCAGATACCTCAAACACTAAACTATTCTGCAGTTCTTAATTAAACGCCTCTGAGTGCATCTTGGAGAACTCTGCTTCTGGCTTCTTTAGCCTCTTCTCTGCCTGCACCCTAGGCTCTCTGCTCCCCGCCCTCCATAAATCACCCCAGGATTAGATGCAGCCAAGTGGAGGGATCCATGAAACAGTCTGCTCAGAACCTCTACAGCTGCACGTACAACACTGGAGTTCCCC